CTAGAATGCGCATATATGTGTATATATAATGGTTTTAGCCATCTATGCGCATTCTACTATCTTATATTTTACTTGTTTGAAGTTAATCCAGGATAATTCCGCTTGGTATCTTAACTATTTAATAAGGTATTTTATCTGGGACCACTAGATGCAACTGGTTTACGCAACCACAAATCAATCACTGTTCTCAAATGATGCAAATGATGCACTCACTCACTTTTACTAATGTGAAAATTAGATTATGTTCTCAAAAATAATGTAGCCTCTCATATATTAAATAAAGCCTATTTTGGCCTCAAAAAAGCAAATGAATTTTAATTCAATGGTAGGGTAGCATTTTAAAGAAGAGTTAGAAAATCTCGTCAACTTTTTGCTTTCAACCAATTCAATTCATTGTCGACAAGCCTGCATCAAGGTTGCCTCGCTAACAATGTATAGGACAGTAGGACTAGGTATATCGATTTTGGTGCCATGACCTACTTGTTGAGCATTCCAGAGCGGTAGATATCAACAAGGTCCCATATACGAGCCAACATGATCGAAGGTACTCCACTTCGCATTAGTACATCCCTAACCTCGGCGCCGCTGACCAGTCCATCAGCATCTGTATCCATCTGAGCGAAAACAGTATTTGCCTTGAGCAGCTCGTCAGACGTAATTGACCATTCAGGGAAAGAGCAACCGGTGGGGTTAGTAGTAGAAAAAAATCTACTAGCACCAGTCGAGGCGGTAGAAGCTGCCGGAGAAGAGATCGGGATTGAGGTATGGAGAGGACTAACGGGTTGGAAGGACTATATAAAGGATCAGAATGAAAGGGGAGAAGAACACAGATAAGTTGAATGGAATGATTATACAATTAAATAAAAGTTCGAGAGTGTATTCATACCAGTATAGATGACCCTTTCAAAGATAAGCAATTTAACTAGCTAGTAAACAAGTGAATTGTGATTAGTTCTTCAAGCCTTTCCAAAATACTAGGAAACCTAGGCCGACTAGGTCACAAATTAAAACACAGAATAGAAACGGTTTTACGTTGGATTAGCAAAATCCACTGTCCTTTTTAAATAAAAAAATGAAACAAATAAGAATAATAGGTGTGAAATTCAATAGGAAGTGTTTGTGTTGCCATTTGCTGAATGGAATCCACATTATCTCGTCTCCGTCATTGCTAAATATTAACTAAAGGCTTCGGAAGATTTTCATAATAATGGATGTTGCCATGATATTCATAGGTTAAAACGAAAGAATAACATAAAAGTAACTGAGTTTTCAAGTTTACAATAAAAGAACACATTTTGATAAGCATTAGAGAGGTGGACGATTTTAAGCAGTTGGAGATAATTAACATTTCACCTCGCCTCCTTCTAAGACAACGCCAAGGCAATAATCTAATTTTTCGTATAAGTAGAGTTTCGAGACTACCACTAAATCAGTTATATGAAATGTATTTACCATATTTCGTTTAAGCTGATGAAGGACTGGTAGTAGAATTTTCCCTTAATGATATGAGTAGAGCTAACGTTTCCATTGAAATTCACATAGCTTTGCTTTCCCAAAAGTTGTTCTCATCCAGGGTGGATTGCAGTTTCGATATCGCATAGGTCTCAGCAACACCCCCGGCGGGAGTCGAACCGTGACAGTGCAGCATGTGAGCTTGCTAGGCTAACCACTTCGTCACATTGCCACGATTGCCTTTGGGTAACAGGACAGATGTGAATTTCAAGTAAGGCCAGGCCAGGCTCACATGCTTCACTGTCACGATTCGACTCCCACTGGGGATGTTAAGACCTATGCGAGATCGAAACTGCAGTCCACCCTGGATGAAAAATACTTTTGGGAAAGAAAGGCTATGCGAAATTCAATGGAAACGTTAGGTCTACTCATGATTGTGGTAAAATTGTACTACTAGTCCTTCATCACCTTAACCGAAATAGGGTGAATACATATCAAATAATCTCATTAATGTCGAGTAATATGACTAGCTTAGAGATCAAATCTCTCATGTAAAAAAACATAATAATCCGTTTCTATCTTTTCAAATGCACAAAATTCTTTAGTTATTTTATTAATAAGAATAATTTAATTGACATATATCACGTTTTCTAAGCAAAATAAGTAATCTGTTTTAAGCAGACCCAGTGTGAAATCATTGGCCGAGTGGGCTGAAATAATTAAGAAAACTGCGTTCTAGCCTGTCAAGACGATACCTGCGCAACGGAGACGGTAGACGCTTGGTTAACAGGGACAAGAGCAAGAGCATCACCGCCGGCTGACGCCAGACTGGC